TTGGTGCATCTACAAGCAATGTTTAATCAGTATAAAGTCATACAAGTGGTTCATGTATTATTACCTTAAAAGGCCATGGCAGACAACAGTAGGATTCGCTCACGTTGATACGGTCGTGGATTTGGAACACGACGGAACGTGTGGAGGCTCTCGTTGAGGCATGTTGGACAGCACCTACTGGTCCTGTACTCGTCTATAAGATAGACTTGGAACTCATGTTTCTTGAGAAGTCTTCGGAAACCAAGGCCACGAATGGGCTCATGATACCTAGCATGGGGAGCGGACCAGTTTCCCATCACAAACACGGCGTCTTCTCCAAACCTGGCGCGTAAATCTTGAATAAGCTTTTGATCGGCACGTTGTCTGTTGAAGTACGCTGAAAGACGGATCTTGCGAAAGAGGGGGTATCCATTATCATGGTTTGTGATGGTATGTCCATAGAATCGACTGAGAACGGCAGACTGTTCAGATCTGGCTTGAAGGAAGCGGCCAAAGCCTTCTACGGATATAGTACTGCTTGGCTGTTGAGAAAGGGCTTACTCAGCTCGAACGATATCAGGATCCTGGGCTTCGAGAGCTTGCAAGATTCGACGGTACTTTTTAGTTTTCCACGTCTTGTCTTGCTGTTGTTTAGTGTACCTGAATTTCACTAATTGCTCTGGTGTAGAGTTTTCGTGTACAAAATACAACATACCTCTTCTTCCTGGATCCACAGCGACGCATCGACCAGAAACCCCTTGGTGATTTCGACGAGTTACATTGGTGATGTAGGAGGTAGCTTCATACTTCACTGGGAGCCTTGCTGTGTATCTTGTTTGCCTGTCGAACCTCTTCTTGAAAACCGTGACGTCAACGCCATCAGTTTGAATAGTGCCACGGAATCTAAGTTGTACACCTTCTTGCGGCTTGAGGGCTTTTGAATCAAGATTGACAACTCGATGCCAGTAGTCCAGTTTATCGACAGCATTAGACCATTTAATTCCCAGGATGCTTTGGCAGAGAATCTTGCTGTCGATAGTAACGTAACAAGGAGATCATGAGCGCCGGAGAGGAAAACAATTGAAGATGGGCAAACCAAGAAATACAAAGAGACGAGAGAGTTGATAGAAGGCCTTAAAGTGGTTGACAGGGTTACGCTTGACATTATAATAAAGTCTCTGTTCGTCAAAGTTGTAATCTCTATCATAAGCATCAAAAACAGGCCGAAGAGTGATAAGAGCTTCCATATAAATAGGCTCTTGAGGGACTTGTTTCATATCTATAGGTTGCTGCGAAATAGCCTGCTTGAATGTCTGCGCTGGTAAAGAGATGTCTTGACGGATGCGATGCTTGATTTCGTCATCATCCATACCTTGTGCAGACAAATCTCGTCTCAAATCTGCTGTTCGTTGCCGTATGCGAAGTAGTGCGTTGACGGCACGTCGAAGGTGCTGGCCAAACCTAAGATGAGCGTTGTTGACATAAACTGTGTAGACTTTGGTGCCTTCGATTATAACAGATTGCTGAGCAAATACAAAGTTGGGCCTCTGGTAGTTGGTGATTGTAAGGTAATCATCCAAGTGCCGATTGATTAATTCACGATAACCAATGAGAGCCATACTTCTTTAAAAAAAAAATCCTTGTTGATATATTCTTGTATGTCAAAATTCATGTCTTGCAACTCCCGAAGGAAGATGAATTTTGAGAAAGAATAGACGTGCATTGTGATGATGTGTACACGTTCGACGAAGCTTTCGAGTGTTTCACGATAGAGATCGTTCCAACCAATGCCATCAACAGAGGATTTAACAGCCAAAATACGGTCGCCGGGTGCGAGGAAACTAGAAGTACTCATAGCCGATGAATAGAAGGAGCTTGGAGTGGAGACTTCATCCATGGTGAGATGCCTATTGAATATATGTGGTTAGTTAAAGATTGCCTCTAATAGCTTAAAAAGAATTTTACTTACTTCTAGTTAAATGGATATATATATCTATAAAAAGATTGATATAAAGAACTAGAAAAACGATAGACGTCAATTTACAAGATATATTGTTAGATAACGGTGTATCCAATCGTTTAGATAAGTTTTTACTTGCTGGAAGTGCTTGATGTGTAGATTTAAAAATATAGAGATTGATTTTAGAAAATGAAGGGCCAAAGAGATGTATCTACTAGATGTATCTACTAGATGTATTATTAGTTACAGACTGCATCCAGCAGTTTAACTATGCTTTTACTTACTTGAGTAAAAAGATGATTATAAGCTTTTTTAATAAAGAAAAAAGAACGAAATGATAGTGAAATGAGCGAATTCTTAGCTAAAATAGTGCCCTTTTTATAATGAAATTCATTATGTTGTCAGTAGTACAAAAAATCAAGTAGTACCCATGGATGTATTCGGAAGAATGAACATGTATTTATTCTCATACACTAATTGATGCGAAGCCTTTAGACATGGTTAAAGCTAAACTGTACAAAGAATGTGAAGTATATCTCTTGAAATCTCAGTCTATTATTGTAAAATGAGACTGAGAGCAGTGGCTTGAATATATTACGGTCAAGCACATCACATAATTTAACCATAGTTCATCATTCTATGAATCGCTTTTAGAGCGAGAACCTAAGAAGAAACACTTCTCTCATATGTATGATTTTAAAGTGCGTAAAAAAATTCTTGATATCTCTTTGTCGTTCAAGATGTACTTGAATTATCAAATAGAGAGAGAAATGGCTCATTATTAAGGCATTTACCAGTGTGATTACTATCATCTGATGGATAGTTTTAATGACTTTTAGTTTCTTTAGCTAAAAGATTGCTATTTCTTTTGACTGCAAAAAAAAAAAAAAAAGAAATAAGAATACTTTTACTTGTAGTACATAACATTATAGTAATCACAACATATCGCCTGGATAATCAAATATTTTCTTATCAATCTATCCTTGCTTTTATTTCTATCTTGTTCCTAAACTTAAATATATAAAAGATCCCTTTTTTTCTTTTTAAATCGCAAGTGAACAAACAAGTATCAAACATGTTCCTGATCTGGTCCTCTTTTTGGATAATTATACAAAATTTGAAATGTGGAATTAGTACGCAAGGAAAGGCAGGCGTGCGTCTGTCATATTTTAGCATTTATATGATACTCACTTAAAAAGGGTATTCAAAGAGCATATTTACCTGTCTAGATATACTGTATAAGAGAGTCTGTCATACTGTGCGGCGTATATTGTTGGAGTGTATAACTCTCCACGTCTTATTTTACACAAAAGTAAAAAGATGCCATTGAAAGTTATCGTTTATATCTAATACATTCCTAAGTCAAATTATCAACTAACTCTTCAGCTATGCGTAATACTATTGAATTCAGAGGCATTTATATACACAACATGTATTATGTAAATGGTTAAATATTATTGTATAAAAGAAATATAATACATTGAAAATACGGTAAACGAGTTCTATTAATAAGGCTAAGATGAGTCGTGTAACTAAGATATAAATGCGTATGCCTTAAGACAAATTTAAAGATGTTCTCTGTTGCGGCATTTGGCCAAACATTTATATGAATGTCGAACAAAGCCTTTGAATTCACTTACTTTTAAGCTATTGGATACCTCACTAATTCTCGTCATAAGCGTCTCTTTTTTCAATAACGTATTGCGCTTTACTTTGCTCTTAACAACTGACCAGAATTGCTCAATTGGATTAAGTTCAGGAGAGTATGACGGTAAATAAGCATAACGGTAACCGCGGGATATAATATATTTAGCAATATCTCCAGATTTATGGATAGGAGCGTTATCCATGATAAGATAGCACCCTTTGATATGTGGATACCGATCCATTTCATCCATCGTGACCTTCAGAAAGCTAAAACGATGATCAGTTACTGCCCCTGTGCCCGTTAGCTCAACATAACCTTCTCTCTTTCTTTTCTTGGCTGGCGGCTGCGGTAATCTCAAGCTATACTTTATTAATCCTGAAGTAGTGATCGCATCTAAAATCGTTGTTGTTTGTGCTCGGGTTTTGGGCACTGTGACCACAGCAGGCAGTCCTTTTTTTGACCAGGCCATACTACGTTTTAAATTAATGTGAAATGCAGACTCATCGAGAAAGACGCAAGTAGTTCTAAAGTCCATGTCCGTACACTCTCACTTATGAACCCAGTCAAAACGCTCCTGAATTTTTTCTTCACTTTTCCTATCTACAGGCTGAAATTGGGCTTTTTTGAGTGACAAATTACATTGAGTTCTTACAAAATTGTAGACAGCGCTTTTAGAGACTTTGAGATCCTGAAAATTTTGAAGTAGGCGCTCCATTGCTTGCTCCAAGACGGCTGAAGGGCTCTCATTTATGTAATTCAAGGTCACTTGCTTGTATTCTTCATGAAGTATACGCGGACGGCCGGTTATCTTATGCTTTATAAAGATACTATCAGGATATGTTTTGTACATTTGAGCCCATCTTTGAGCTGTGCGAACATGAATACCTAATTGTTTTGCAGCAGCTGAAGCACTCATAACTTTCTCAAACATCAGTTTAAAGAATCTAATTTTGTCTTGATCCGTATAGAGTATGTACGCTCGTTTACTCGACACCTCCTTCATGCAAACATCTACGTCATCTTTTGCATCTTCATCTGCCATAGAGCCTACATCGAAATCATTCTCCTGAGCCTAATTATGCAAATACTGAGTGTGTGAACTAACTGTTTCTAAAGCATATCGCTCTTCATCAATGGTATAGTCCACAGGCTCAGGTCTAACGTATTCATCAACTGCATTACCGTGCCCATCTTCATAGAAAATTTGAAAGCTCATATTGTAATACTCGGTTTTTAATGAGAAAGGAAGTAAAAAAGTAAAAAAAAAAAAAAAAAAGAGCTAACAGTGCTTTCGTGCTTCATATACGACATTCAATTTGTCAGCAAGCGAGTATATTTCCATGGTCGAGGTTTGTGGTTCCACTGAAGTTGATATCCTTGTGTTACTACTGACACAGGCCATGAATGAAGTGTTGCCCGTTTCCATTGCTCTGAGAAACGTTGGAGACGGCCCCCTGGTAATATACCATCGCTTGATGTGGCGTAATGCGCCATTATCGTGGGGAAAGACGCTGGCGTTGATGGCAGTATTATTGGGGTTGATTGGAGCTTTGGGCCTCCGCGTGTATTTGGCCCTTGCTGCGTCCAAAAAAAGACCTGTGGAAGGTTCCACGTCCAAATCCTCTGTTATTGTTGTTGTCGTCCCACTGCATTTCTGAGGATGGACTGTTCGTATCTGGCTTGAAAGATTCTTTCAACTTCTTTCCTGCCCAAGGCCAAGACCTTGTCACTAGGCTCTTCTTCCAAGTGTTTAACGCTATCGGGGAGCCTGAGCGCCTTGATCGCCATTGTCTTAGCTTCACTTTTGATGGCCTTACTCGTGGCGTATGAGTAAACTGCAAGTTGTCGGATGCCTTCCATAATGAGAAAGAATTGCTCTTCACTTCCTCCTGATTCCAGGAATTGTTGGCATCCTTCGTAAAGGTCTGTTGCTGCTCTTCCTGCGATGATGAGTCGATCAGCTCCCTTGTATACTGCGTTTGTGCTTTGGAGGGCATCCACCGTTTTCCTTTTAAGTTCTCTGTGGAACTCTTTGTTGAAAATCTCGCTGTTGGTCCATTCACTACCTTCGTACTTTGGAAGGTTCTTAACAAATTCTTTGATGTTCTTCTGCAAATTGACAGACGAGCTGTTCTCCAGTTCTTCCAAGATTTCGTTTGAAAGGTTTGTAGGGCCTTCAATTGATCTGTCAAGATTGAGCTTCCTTGATATTTCCTCAATGATTTGTTCGACTTGTTCTCTTGTAAACAATTGTTCAGATTGATCACTGGACATATTGTTACCATGGTGCGCGGCGCAAACAAGATCTAAAGAAATAGGAACCAAAAAGTTTTTTTATTATGTATTATCTGAAATTAAAGCGTGGCACGAAAGAGCCTTTACCACCTCATCTTCTCCTTCCACTTCGGCAGCTGTTTGATTGTTTCAAAGTTTTATTATAAATACAATTATATCGTAATTATATGGTAATTACTAGCCAGATCACCACAGTTGTCACGGAAAAGAACTTTTCATATACTGTTTAGAAAAAAGAAAAGAATGGCCATTTACATGATTCTTGCTTTAGATAGGCGTCCTTATGCTACACCTGTTAACACAAAAAAATAGAGCATTATCATTCAGGCTTTTTTAGCACTTTACTGTAACTGAATAATTCGTTGCTAGTTTTTTCAAACAAATACTCTTGGTATTCTTTTCTTTTCATTTTTAGTAGCCTTTTAAAGTAGATTAAAACCTCCTCACATGCAAGATGTGAGTGTAAAGTAGCTATGAAAGTGTATGACTTGGTTTTGCTTTGACATATAGTGTAGTAGAGGCAAAGACGAGGGGTGCGTGTACTTTTTATTAGGCCGAGAATATGGTAAAAAATCCTCCCAGTAGAAAACGGTTGTTATTTTAGAGAGGCTTGTGCTTTTTCAAGTAAGATGAAGCTTGAAATAATACTATATATATTGTCCCAGGCTTTATTTATTTTGATAGCAATATATATCAATGAGAGGGAGTCAATATACACTAATGAAAGGGAATATAAACTTGGCAATGGGGAATAAAACAAAAAAATAGATGGTGTTCTAAACAGGACCAAGATGCAATAAAACGAAATCCTTATCCAGAAGACATAAGACATCATTGACCACACTAGTACGAATGGGTACACCGCTTTGGTAATCACTTCATACAAATGCTAATTTGAATATAGGATGATAACCACTTAACTTGTTCCCTAAGAAAAAGGTAAGAATAGTTTATACAGACTGCAAGATACTACACTTATCTCACAAGCATCCAGATACGTAACCAATCATCTAATCAGAAGAAAAAGACAATACTAGTCTGCCTGCCATCCCCTCCAAAGAAGGAACTACTGTCGCATTGTTGGGAACAACACCAAGCAGTGCAGATTGTTCGGACGCGTCATTAATGCCTTCCAAAAGTCCCACAGCATCAACGGCAGCATTGTCGCTTTAGTTTATTCAACCAAAACCTAGTCCGTTCTTTTTCAAAAGTATACATTCATTGGCAATACCAATCTGCCTGCCATCCCCTCCAAAGAAGGAACTACTGTCGCATTGTTGGGAACAACACCAAGCAGTGCAGATTGTTCGGACGCGTCATTAATGCCTTCCAAAAGTCCCACAGCATCAACGGCAGCATTGTCGCTTTAGTTTATTTAACCAAAACCTAGTCCGTCCAATGAAGTAATTTCAAGTAAAAAAAAAAGGGAAAAGAAACCACAGGGAAAATATATACGTAATATAAATTTGTGACGTATACAGCCGCAAAAGCAGTCATGAAAATTCTTTGATTGTCATATTTATCCCAATACTACGCATGGTTCTTTCGCACAACAAAATCAAGCCACCTGACAAAAGTGGCACTCAAGCTATTTCATCACCTCAAATGAATTCCTCTCAACGTTCTATTCCGCCCCAACCTGTTTTGTACTCTAGAGTACATAACAATCGCAGTAAAGTTCAGGAAAGTTTACTCTCTTGTCCTCCGGAAAAGTTCAGCTCCCGATCTTCTACATCTCATGGAGATCCAGATGACATGGATCCCATCGTTATTGAAACCGTTTACTGGGGAGTATCTCAGTCCCCTGGTTCTTTATTTTTCGACGTTACTTGTCGCAAGGAATCCGACAAGGATCTCTACAAACTGGCCTTTGATCAGTTTGATGATTTTGTTGGACAATTAGTTCATCGTTCTGGAACAAACAGATACTTGGAGATCAATTTCGATATTGACAGACATCGCTCCTATGCTTTTGATACTGGTTTGAAGTTTGATAAAGGCAAGATGGTCGTTAAGCCTGCACATGCCATGGCACCTGGCTCCATTTTGAAAAAAGTGAGCCTTCAACGTTTACCTTGGCTTAGACCAAAAGAGCTTCTTGCTGGCTTAACTGCCACACTCAGTAACTATGGTGTAGTCAAGGACAATGCCACAGGCACTTTCTTGAGTTCTGGATACGCAGTCCTCGATGTATCAAAGCAATCACTTGCTCAAGATGAGACCCCCTTTTTGGAGCTCTCTCATGTGATTACCTGAGTTGATCCGGACGTCTCTCGTTCTGGCAAAATGTTTATTTTGGCCTATTGGAATGATATGCCTACCTATTGTAAGTATTGTCATGAATCTGGTCATATCGCTTCCAGTTGCCCTAAATCCCCTAGCGGCAAACGTGTCTGCTTCCTCTGTCTCAAACGTGGCCATGTTCGGGCCGATTGTCCTGAACGCACATCCACTGCTAAGCGACGCCGTAATGGTCGCTCTGTAGCACGCCCGTCCTCTTCAACTCAGCCTGCTTCAAGCGACACTGAGATCACAACGTCAGAAATATCAAGTGGCGAAAAGGACGATTCGATAATTACTCCTAAGTCTCAAGAGATCATCATAGTGCAGGACCAACACTCAGAGATCACTGAGGCATCTGATCTACCTGTACATAATCCCTCGCACTTACATTCCAAATATGTCAATGTTGAGCCTTCTAGACAATCTACGGCAGGGATTGACCAGAATTCCCTCATTTCTACCTCTCGATCGTCTTATCCTCCCTCGGATACTGCAGAGGTTTACTCTGATGCTGAAATGGATGAGGCCCACCAGTCTTCTGAGAATTTAGAAGAACCTGATGAAGCACCCTCTAGTGATACAGAAATGAATGAAATCCACAATGACCCTAAAGCACCAGTTTCCAAATCTTCTACACCAGGTGTTTCTGTTCGTCGTAGCGGTCGCAATCGAAACGCTCCGGACAAGCTGAATCTTTAATCTTATTATTATGATATATAATAATCGCAAGGCATTCAAGTTACTATCTTTGAATGGCAATAGTTTTTTCAAAGTTAGTAAACCATCTACACGAAAACAATTTATACGACACATTCGATCCTATAATCCCACATTTGTTGCTCTGCAAGAAGTGGATAATAGTGATAACCCTTCCTCACATTTTGATTTATTACATCAACAGTTTGTTTGTCATCAAAGCTTATGGACTCAATATTGTGGTCTAGTTTGTTTTGATCCTTCATTTTCAATTACACGTATCCCTATGCCAGAGGATGCCAGATGTCTTCTGGCTCAAGTTACGCACATAAACGATTTTATAAAACCTTTCTTTATTCTTGTTATCTACGCTCCGGCGAATTTAACAAGAGAAAGGCGTGAATTTTACGAACGACTCTTACAGTTTCAGCAATTGGATCCATATGATGACAGGTCTTGTATTGATCGTCTTGTGATTGCAGGCGATTTTAACTTTACAATACAGGCGTCTCAATCTTCATCTTCCTACCGAAATTGGATTCAACTTCTCAACAGTCATTTCCAGAACATTATGTCTGATCTTCGTGATTTACACACTCCCACTTTTCGTAGAGGCGCAGTTACCAGATCAACGATAGACTATTTATTTTTATCTACTACCTTATCCGCCAATTACATCGATGCTACAGTTGACTTTGTCGATCCTGAATGGTCAGATCATGCTATCCTTTCAGTTGAATTAAAGCTTGACTTGGCTGATTCTCACGGTCCAGGCACTTGGAGAGCCAACCCGGTATATCTGGGACATAAGGACTTCCGTCGCCGTCTTGCTAATATGCTAACAGAGCTTTACCACTCAGAAATCGCGCATTCTCACTCTTCTCCGTAAATATTATGGGACGTGGTCAAAGTTCACGTAAAAGAATTTACTCGGAAATATGGTCGCTCATACGTCAGTTGGCGCTCCCAACAGATTAAGCGTTTACAAAAGAAACGTCACCGTATTCTTCAAAGTTCATTGCCTGAAGGGATATTAGTCGAGCATCTACCACGGGTCGAACGACAGATTGCCTCTCTTCAATATGAGCTTGTTGAAATTAAAGCTCTCAAGGCAGAGAAAACCTGGCGAGAACATGGAGAAACCGAAGCAGGATATCTTAAGAAATCTGCATCAGTTAGATCCGCCCAAAGGTCGATGCTTCAACTTTGGGACCCTTCTCGGGATGAATTTTCTTCCTCTCGGGATGATCTCTTGCGCATTTCAAGTGATTTCTACCAACATTTGTTTTCAGCTGAACCGGTAAGTAATGCATCGATTGATAATATGCTAGCGCATATTCCTACGGACTGCAAGCTTTCACAGGCTGCGCAAGATAGTCTGTCTTGCTCAATTGATCTGGATGATATCTTAGAGCAATCAAAGAGGGCTCCTAAACAAAGTAGTCCTGGCTCTGATGGTCTTTCGTATGGTTTCCTGCGGTTAATCTTCAATCACCCAGACTATTCCCAAATTGTCAACCAAGTGTACAACGATGCTTTGACTTGCTCAATTTTTCCTGTATCATGGCTTCAAACATCTGTATGTCTTCTTCCGAAGAAAGGTGACTTACGGTATCTTTCAAATTGGAGACCAATCACACTGATTAATTGTGACGCAAAGATATTCACCCGATTATTGAACAACCGTTTAAGGGAGGTCGTTTCTCCTTTGATTTGTCCTTTTCAAACTGGTTTTATGCAAGGAAGATTTATTGCCGACAATGGCCTTTTAGCATAAATTGCTATAGAGCAAGCTTCTTTCCGGTCCTCCTCGGAAGTTGGTCTGCTGTGCGACCAAGAAAAAGCTTATGATCGAGTGCATCCTGTGTATCTTCGCTCTGTCCTTCAGGCTTTTGGTTTGCCCTCCGTTTTTATCTCCGCTGTTTGCTCTCTCTTCTTTGGTACAACCATGAAAGTCAGCGTTAATGGGTACTTCTCGTCACCTATACAACTAGGTCGTGGTTTACGCCAAGGAGATCCCATCAGCCCTCTTTTGTTCAACTTAGTAATGGAGCCCTTGGTTAAATCTATTGTTTATTCTCAACGAATTCGTGGTTTTGCTTTTCCTTCGGTCGACGTTATGGAGGGCGTTTCCTTACAGAACCGCATTTCAGTCCCTTCGGAAATCAAAGTCCTAGCATATGCAGATGACCTTTTGATTTTCCTTGCTGATCAACATGACCTTCAGGAGGTTCAGTCCCTCATTCATCAGTATAACTTGGCTTCTAATGCAAGAATGAACTATAACAAGACTGTAGCCTTCCCTGTCTCAGGCTCTTCCCACACGGAATGGCCTACACTTTTACAGTCATATGGAGTTACTCAATGGCATGACTCTACATCGTCTGAGCCACTCACATACCTTGGATACCCTCTGTTACAATCGCCTCGACAGCGAAATAGTTTTCAACAACGTATCGTAGAAAAAGTATCCAGTGCTTGTAACATTTTTAAGCAAAGGTCTCTGTCCATTCGCGGCCGTGCAACCGTCCTCAATGTGCTTATTCTGTCCTCGCTCTGGCATATTCTTAGAGTAGTTGGGATTAACCAAAAGACTTTCGACACTATCCGAAAGGTTTGCCGCGAATTTCTTGGTTTCAGGATTTTCCCATCTATATCTCTAGACACCTTTCAACAACCCCTCAAGCGTGGTGGACTGGGTTTCCTGGAGCCGAATTGTCAACACCTGGCTCTTCAGTATCGATGGTTAACTCCTCTCTTGCTCAATGATGATCCTTCTAGTTTTACTACTTTATGGCTGCGGGCTCATTTGCTTAGCTTATCACCTCTGTCGATTGTTGACGCAAGATTGCCTTTTCTCTTTCCGTCCTTTCGCAAAGGCCCTTTAGCAATGAATTCTCCAGGGGTCCTTCCGGTTCTATTTCGGTCTTTCGACGCTCTTTTTGATTCTGGTACAGTTCTTACTTTGCTCAACAGCTCTTTGTCCGAACGTCCTAAGGTTTCTGTTGAAATCTGCTTATCCTTACCACTATCGGAAATCATAAATTGGCCTGCAGATGGCTCACCTACGATGCAAAAGCCTTATAAGTCTCTTCAGGCTAGCCATGCTTTTAGTTTATCACCTGATCGCTCTCATCTGATTCCTAAAGCATGGGTGAACGAGCAAAGACAACCTTCTCAGGGTCGTAATCGCATCCGAAAGTTGGTTCGCCTTCTTTTAGCCGGACAGCTTACTTTACATCCTTTTTTCGCCCGTCTTTGTTTACCGGGCAGTGTTGTGGCTGCTGTTCCATTGTCTCTCTCTGAAGTCTGTGGCCAATTAGTCCATCCTTGGATCGAGCCAAACTCTGATACTATTCTGCCTCGTAATTTTCGCAAGCATCACCAACAGCTGCTACAACAATCT